CCCGCCCCCCCCCCCAATACTCACTCTAACACATCCCGGTTGAACTGTTTTTGTCGATTTCCCAGAAATTCTCCAATCATCTGTCTGCTGAGACCTTTCCTTTGCAGGAGAAAGTGGGCAACACCAACTGGAGTATCTGGCACAAAGCCTCGCTCAATTAGGTACTGGACTCCTTTCTCAGGTTTTCTGAGGAGAAATGAGAATGCAAAACTTAATTTTCTTCCATTGGACCTGAAGGCATCTGACGCAAAACTTTACAACTTTGCCAACCACTTTTGACTAACATATTCCCGGCATGGGCTAGAATAGTTGCAAGATAGATGTAACCGTGCTGTAGAATATACTGTTCACTGTTAATAGTTTACCACCTTTGAATCACATCTTTGCATGTTGTTACACATTTCCCTGCTCCATAACCCTTCCAAAGAGAAGCTTTATATGCAAGCCGCTTCAGGCATGAAAGTCAAAACACTTGTCAACGCAAAAGATGAGCCCAACATCAGCTACTAAATGCCCCTGTTGCTGGGAGAGAGGTACCTTCCAGAAACTGAAATAAAAAGCTGCCAGAGAAAAACAAGAAACAAAGAACACCCCTGACCTCCAACCCCACTGCTGTCAAAAGGTAAACTTACTGAACAAAAACATCTGAAGGGGTACAACTTGCAAGTTGAGAATACAAAAAAATAAGGGGGGAGAAAATAAAGTCAGTCATGCAAAAAGAAGCAATTAAAAATAGTGAAGCTCCCATGTAATTTATATTGATTTTCCTCCTGTCCTTTAACACACCCATTGCCCCAGATTTCCTTCCCTCAGACAAATACCTTCATAATTTCTGGAGTATTTTACATCTCTTTATACTTCACTGGCCGATTTAGCTGTAACCAGTTTCAGATCTCCAAACAAAGCAAGCCAAAGCCACACATTTTAACATATTACAAAGCATGTGTTGGGGATGGAATTGATTTCTGGCAATAAAATCTACTGCTTATAAAGGCAAAAGCTGCTTATATTTTAAAGTGATGTACAATTCCTCTCACTGCACATATTGTGGCCCGTGTCTTCCAGCAGTGTGACACAACAGACAACCATAATTTGTTTTAAAGATATTAAAGGGATATCTTTACAGAATCAGTAATTTCACCATCATCTTTCTTTTGTAAGGAATTATAATACAACGCCCACCTGTAAGAGTGAATGATTTGCAGCATGCTGGATGACCTGAAAGATATTTCCTTTAAGGCTAAGCAAAATCAATTTCAAAGGATAAGGTGACTGTACTATTTTCATACAAGGCTGATCATACAACCCTAACCCTTCCTCAGGGTTTTTCATTGCAAATAACATTACTAAATACATCACCATCCAGGTCTCCTACTCTTTTACATTACACTATTATGCACTTAATACCCTATTAAGAGTTAGATAGATCAGAAGAATATATATAATTTAATCAAAAGGGAGTTCCAAATCTCAGTTTCTTGCGTCAGGCTTTGTAGCTCTTTTCAACTGAAATAAGATTACATATACGGTCATCTTCTAAATACAATCTCGTAAAACGAATCTCCTTTCTCAAAAAACACTCTTTTTCTTGTAAGCCATGTAACTGCTACGTTCAAATGCTTTTCAATTGTATTTCAGAACTGTTAATCTTTCTGAATTACATTGACAGCATCCAACAAAAGCAGGAATAATCTTCTCCACTCCCCTTCTCAGTGAGCTACATTTGTCCACAAAATTCAGAGTGATGCAAACCCAGGAGAGTTCCTTTCCAGCAATTGTCAAAACAGAAAACAAAGAAAGCTATTAAAAAGCACAACTTGATCCAAAGATCACCTTTTCCTGAGATACAGAAAATGCTGAATCGTTACGTATTGCACTAAACCACAACTTGAATTCTTAACCACCCCCATAAGCCTGAACACATTTAAAATCATCACAAAGGTGACACATGATTTATTTTGCATCAGCTCCTACGCCGTTGTGTCATTTTACACAAGTCGGGGGAGGAAGCTCTGCTTCTGGTTCAGCAATGTGAAATCAGTTCATTCAGATACACTTCAAACCAGGCTAGGTAAAGCTCCAAATCAGACTTCAAAATCCATTTAGCAATATGTTGGAAGCCAAAAGCTCTTCTCCCGTCAATACCTTCTTCATGCTGAAGTGAAGTGTCAGGAAGTTTTGTAGTCTAGAGTGATCTGGAAGCAGTCCAATTTGTTACAGAAGTTGTAACATGGAAGCAATGCAAACTATGAACTGTAATAACATGAAAATAGTACCTGAAAACTCTCAACTGTGAGAATGAAGACTACTTTTTGCCTACTTGATAAATCAAATGGTGGTAGCAGTGGCATAAACTTCAGAATCATAAGCCTGTAGGAGGCATTTCCAGAGTGAAGAAACTTTATTTCTTTCTAATTCATGACGGCCTCTACTGAATTTGCCAACTAGAGATCAACAAAATTGTGTCATATTATTTTGAAATCTGTCCTCTAAAAACTGTTAACTTTGTTGTTCTGTTCTAGAGCAACAACTGTCAACCTCGAGAATCTGACTGACCTCAGCAGAAGAGCCGCTTGTGGGCTGACCCCAGCCAACAGCCAAGACTAAGCCCGTACAGAGCTACAGCTACAAGTAAAGAACGCAACAATTAAAGGGCTTCTCTAGAGAATTCCTACTAGGTCTTGAGGTGAGAACTGTAACCTTCCATAACGTTACTTTGATCTTTGAAGGTTCTGACAGTTGTCACTGCCACAGGGATAACGGACTTCTTAGAGCAAGCATTAGTATGATAATTGTTCTTAATGACAGAACCTATAGCTTCAGGTGGTCTTCTGGTACCTCACCCCAAGCGATGACAGTCTACAACAGAGTATATTCTAAAGGACAGTTTCTGTTCTGAAAGTCTAGTTTGCCAACAAAGTTTCTTCATATTTCTATTTTTGATGATCTGAAACCTTGAATTCATTCAACACTCTTGACCAAGAAATTGAATTTAATATGAACTAAATTCTTTCAAACAGCTTATTGGAAGAACAATCTCCCCCCCTCCTCCCCCTTTTTTTTATCCAACTTGCAAACAAGGGAGGTTCAGGGGTTCTACTGCTGTTGTAGGTTCATCCCCCCGCCCCGGGTGTGACATTATCTTCTGCCACAGGAAAAGTACTTAATAGAAAACTGTGACTTTATAAGAGTGTTCTGAAGTGTTGTACTTCCAATGAAATTTTACTTAAAAAGTGAATCTAACAATAGGTTAAGAGAAAAACGTACACAAAGGTGCCTTCACTCTCGGTCTTTAAACACAAGCAGTATTTTCCCTCTTTTCAAATTCAGAGAAATTAAAGAACTAAACAGGTTCGTGGAAATTTAAGTAATCCCCAACATCACAAATTCTAAATATTACTAAGTATGAAGGAATTACCTCTTAAATGCATGAAGAGGACATGTAGGTTGTGGTGTTGACTATCAGCAAACTACCTGAAACTCATTTCCCCCTTCCCAACGAAAGGCAAAAAATACCAGGTAGCTGACCGGGTTTCTGGGCGGGCAGGTTTTAAAAGACAGCACAAGCAAGCAGGGACCCTACTGCTGGCACAACCAGCTGTCTTAAATTGCACAAACTTTCTTTGCCACCAAACTCTAATTTTCCTAAAGGAAAATGACTGAATGCAGAAGGGAGTGGGACATGAAAGGGTCATGGATTTAACATGAGACAGGACATCTGACATAAGTTGTCCTCATTTCTGACTACTCAGACTTAAGCTGTTTTGTACTTACAACTAAGAGTCTTTTGTGATTAGGAAAATTCCCAGTGACGGCTTGTTAATTACCCCTACCAATAACAGGGAAGATGAGAAGTCTATAAATAGCAATCATGGAAGCTGCATAAGCAGATCATTTATTTTCAGATTTGAATACATTAACCAATATCAAAATATACCCTCTAAAGCTACCACCATACATAGCTGATTATATACATATTTACAGAACTTCTCATATTTACAAGATTGCTTCCAAGATAAAACTTAAAAATGTCTTCTATTTAAAAAAAAAAAACCAAACCAAACTAAATCACAAAACAAAACACCAAAACAAATCAAAAGGAATCTACTGAAAGGAAGGGAAAAAAACACCACCCTAACACAAAAAGATGTGCAAAAACATATTGACATAAGATTCTCGACTGTTGCACAAAGGGCTAAGGAATTTGTCAGAAACTCATTAACAGCAAGAGCTTGAGGATGGTTTAAAGCACCTTTCAGGGACTGGTTTAAAGCAACTTTTAGGGGAAAAACATTGATGGAGAAAGCAATGCCAACTTAAAAATACCAGATTAAAACATTGTATTTTAATAAGTGCGTTTCTTAGAGGGTACTGGTCATACACAGTAAAAATGCTGTCTCTCTGCGTTTCTGAAGGCAGGCTGGATCCTGCAGCAATTTTTGGAAGCTGACATCTTTAATTCTGGGAATGACGAGTGCAACAAAATCACACACAGACGACACTTAAAAAAATCAAAGAGCAAAAACCCACCCCCGTCCCTCAAAAGCCAAGAGAATAGCAAACCCCTGCATATCACTGCTGTTTCCTCTCGTCAGTATGACGTCTCTCCTTCCTGGGCGTAATGCTAACTAGAAGGAGATGACTTCTTTACTCAGCAAGTTCTACATGGAGTACTGAAAGCATTCAGAGAACTTGCTGACATTTGTGTAGATCTCATTAGAGTGGTGGTTTGTTGGGGGTTTACAGATTGTGAAGCTGAGGAGTTGTGTTTTTTTCCCTTTAGCAGCTGTGCAAGTTGAATCTGAAAGTCACAAAAAAGTTAGTACGTTTCGGAGTTTTGCTAACATAAGTGATGTATGAGGCCCTCCTAAGAATGAGCTCTCCTTTGGTACATGAGGTAGAAAAGAAGAACAATAAATAGGGTAATAATATCAAAGTTAGTACATTCCTGAAAGAAATGTCCCTTATCCAAGCTAGGAATCTATAGAAAGAAAAGAGAAAAAAAGGATTTTTTTTTCATTAGACTAAAACCTACATGTATATCAGAAGCACAGTATCTTTAGAAAAACACTGCATTCTTAATATTTCTATTGTTGGGAGCAAATTAGTAAGGAGAGCAGTGATCCAGACATCTATAATTCTGAATATGCCATTATTTGTCTCTGTGAACTTTCACCTGGTCGGAG